GCAGGAGGATTGAGAGCCTGAGAAAGCCTGGGCCACATAGCAAGACACTGTCTCAAAAGATAAACAAGCAAATAAACAAAACAATGGGTCAACAAACTTGACTCTTAGGAGAGGAGACATCAGCAGGCTGAGGAGCCCAGCCTCAGGTCGGGGTCCACCAGTGCCCTGTTGTCTCAAGAAAGCCCAGCATCACAAGGTAGGGGCAGCCCGGGCAGAGGCAAGGCCTGTGGCCAGAGGGGCAGGGGAGTACCCACAGGGAGGGGGTCAATTCCGAAAGCTCTGCCCTGGTCACAGGCTGACCTCAGACAGACCTCTGCCTGAACTGGGCCTCAGTTTCCCTACTGCACATGTCAGGACGGACTGAAGCACCTCAGCCTGGGCCCGTGCCCTTCTGCTGTGGTGGGTGACCTTGCCCTTATCGACCTGGCCTGTCTACCTCACCCCTGCACCCAAGATCAATAAGGAACAAGGCCCAGAAGGGCTTGGGAAAGGGCAGCAGGGGCTGGTGGCCACAGCCCCAGGAGACACTGATGGGGTGGGTTATCCCCACAGGAGCTTCTGCCACCCTCCTGTCCCCGGGATTTACCTAGGAAGCACCACGGCATTGTGGGCCCTGGGATGGTGGAGGGCAGTATCATGTGTGAGAAGTGACTGAGGACGAGGGGACAGATGGCTGGTGGGGGGTGGTGAGTCAGTGGTGGGGGGCTGGCAGGAGTGGGGAGTGGGCACAGGGAGGGAGGGTGCCCTGACCCTCTGTGGTGTGGGGATGACACCAGCCCCTCCACCCCCGCCCGGAGCTATTTCTGGTCTTGGTATACTGAGCTGTTCTGCCTTGGAACTATGGTCTGTGATGTGACAGCTTCACAGGGACATCATTGGTATCTGAGAGGATCCTAAACTGACCAATGTGCCAGGCCCTCTGCAGCCTTCTGGCCCCAGCCTCCATGTTGGGGAGCAGCAGCTCAGAGCCTCCCTAGGAGTGTCCCCTCCCAGCCAGGAGAGAGCCATGTGTCCCCAGCACCCCACCCCCAGCATCCTCGAGATCTGTGCCCCTGTTTCGCCCAGGCCACATAGAGCTGAGCTTCATGCTCAGGCTGGATGCTCCTTGAGGCCTTTGTGTAGGCACCTCACCTACTTTCTCTCCTGGTCAGGGGCAGGGCAGGAGCAGAGCAGGTTTTAACCACTCACTGCCTCAGTATCCTGACCTGTAACGCAAGCTGGTAAGATTGGTAAGAAAAGCAATTCTTCTGAAGTACCAGCTAAAGTCTTTTTATACGTGCTGCTCGGACCCCCAACAATCTGTGCAGGGTGAGCATTTCTGCTTAGGGGGAGGCCTTGAGCACTGAGGGTGAAGAGTTGGATGGATGGACGAAAGCCGGTGTCCTGCATAGGCCCAGCTTCCTCAGGTGGAGGCAGCCGCGTCCCCATGGCACCTCAGCCCAGGCCGGGGGGTCCAGGAGCAGAGTGAGTCGGGGAAGACACCAGAGAAGGCAATCACAGCTCTGCTTGGCTCCGCTCCACTCCACGGCTGCTGAGGTGAGCTGCTGACCTCAGCAGCCGCAGGCCCACTGGCTCCTGCGGCTGCTGGGTGCCTCCCCAGAAGCCTCTCAGCCCACCTGGTCCGTCTCCCCTACCTCCTCCTCTGCATGCACCCTTCTGTCCCCCTCACCCATCCCCTCTGCCCCTGCCCCTTTGTCTCCTTCCCCCTCCTCTCCTTCCTCCATCTTCCCCTTCCCATCCCCCTTGCCCTCCCCCACTCTCCTCCCTTCCCCTCTTTCTCTCCTCCCCTCTTCTCTTTCCCTCCTCCTTCCCTTCCTGCAGTGAACATGAACATGGGCTCTTTGCTCACAAGAGCTTGTGGTGCAGGCTGAATAGTGCACATAGCCCAGGGGTTATTCCGCGCTCCGTCTGGCTGCCCCTGGGGGAGACTGGGTCAGTATCCAGTCACTTTCCCCTGGGAAGTCGCAGAGCCTTCTGGACAGTTAGCCTCCCCCTCATCTCCTGAGTGTGGCTCTAATGCCCTCCCTGGCTCCTAGCCAGATCTGGCTAAGGCAGGAGCCCTTTGCTAGCCCCCACATGGTGATTCTGACAGGAGTTGGCCTGGGAATGGCAGGAGTGACACTGGGTTGGGGATAGCTCACGAGGCAAGCAGGAGTGACCACGCCTGAAGGGTGCTCCTTGCGGTTTCTGTGTGTGACAGGAGGCCACCTGGGGCAGTTTGCTCTCCACATGTGCCTGGATCACACTCACGTTGAGTGCTGATGGAGAACTGGGACCCAAAAGAGAATGGGTGAGAGTTGCAGGTAGCCGCCCAGGGGAGGAAGGGACAGCTGGGCTGGTCTCCAAGAGGAGGACAGAGTCTCTTGTGGGAATCAGTAGGGAGGTTGAAGAGAGAGAAAGGAGAGATGGACAAGGACAGGACAGGGAGGGGACCCCAGGCCTTGTGGCCAGCCAGGGGGACAGGCCAGATGAATAGGCTGGAGAGGACTTTTGGGAGCAGAGGCTGCTAGCCAAGATGAAGGGCAGAGAGAGGTCAGGCGAGGCTGCCCTGGGGTGAGGTCAGGGGATCCCTCCCACTGCCTGGCTGGCTCTTCCGTGTTTCCCGGCCCCTGCTGTGAATACAAACCCATGCTGCAAAGTTGGGTTTGATTATCTCATAAAAAGATGCCCCCTCATGCTTGCTCAGCGGAGGGGTTGCTATGGAGACCAGCGGGCAGGCCCAAGGGGGGCCAGGCTGGAGCCAATTACTGTGGCTGCAGCAGAAGAAAGCCCACCCCGGCCGCTGCACCAACTCTCAGAAGTTGGTTTCCAAAAGACAGTTGTCTCGGCAGGAATGGAGCTGTTTCTCTGCTGCCTGGCAGGGCTGACAACCACGCAGCTGCTCCCCCAGTTGCCCACTTTCCCAGCATGGCTGTCCTGCAGCCAACCAGGGTGTGACACCAGCCAAACTCAGACCACGGCCTCAAGCTGGGGGCCACAGGACATGGTGCAGTGGTGGCCTGGATCCATCACAATGTGGTGGCTTGGTTACCACGCATGATGGGTGATGCGGATCAGTTGGCAGCAAGGTCCAGTCTGACAAGGTCCGGGCAGCAGTATGTCTGTGGCATGGTGTGGCTGATGATGTGGCCCACCGTGGCAGTGAGGCCCCCTCCCAGCCCAGGTCTTCCTGAGATCCTGAGGGTTTTCAGAGCACAGGGCCTTTCTGTGACCACAGGTGAGACACTATGGGGCATGGTCAGGTGCACTTTGCCAAGGAGGTGTAAGAAGAGTGAGGAGAAGATGTTTAAATAGAACATCAGGCCCCAGTGTCTCTCTCACATGGCCAGCTGGGGGAGCAGGAATTGGGAGCTCCTGACTATGTGGACCTCCATCCTGGGGCTGGGGAGGGGCTCCCAAGACCTGGGTGCATCCTAGTGATAGCTATCCTTGCCTGGCTCACTAGGGCTCTGGATTTAGGGCAATTGCCTGTTCTGCTTCAGACAGAAGAGGACCCCAGCATGGGGTGGGAGGCACAAGGTGCAGTCCTAAGTCCGGGAAGGTAGCCGATGGTCTCTCTCCTCCCTCCAACTCCAACACCTAGCCAGCCTCCTGTCTGCAGAATCCTGTTCTTAGCTGCCTGCCAAGGAAGGTGTTAGCTGTCAAGAAGGTGTTAGCTGATAACTCAAGTGTTAGCTGATAAGCCATAACCCTCCCAGGGGGATTCACATTTTAATAGACTCACTCCTGAAGATGGAAAGAACCTTCAGTATCCACAGGAGTGGGGCTCAGATGGTGAGGGTGACCGGCAGTGTAGCTGACTATTAGGGATGTGGCCCTGCCAGTGAGGCCAGATCTGCATGTGGTGCCCCACCCCTAGGCCCCTCTAGTGCTGAGAGGCCCTTGTGAGGCCCCAAATGTGTCTGACTTGTGATTAGGAGGGGTGCAGCACCCCTGGGCTAGGGGAGACAACACCAAGAGCCTGTTCTGGTTGGGGAAGTGCCTGGGTGGGAGGGTTGAGAGCACCAGGATTATTCAGGAATTGGTTGAGAAAAATAAAACTCCTCCCCTGGGAGGGGATCAAGCAGAGAATGAGGCCAGGGTGGAGGCTGCTGAAGGTGTTCCAGCCAAGTCCGGAAGTGCTTAAAAGGGAGGCTGTGTGGAGGAGGGAGCAGCCTGGGCTTGGGGATTTCCAGGGCAGGCCCGCACTCCTCTTCTCCCTCCTGCCAGCCCTTCTGGCACCCCAGACCCCTTCCTGGGATAGCAGAGATGCTAGTGGGAGGACTCACTTTGGGTCACCAAGGGCCACTGCCACTGGGGGCTACAGTATCTTCATTAAAGCACTGTGGCATGGGCAGGGGGGAATTCCCCTGGAATCCCAGTTGCCAGGGCCTAAGAAAGACTTGGGGGTCTGGGCCACAACCCCCTCTTCTGCAGCCTGAGAGGAGGGCCTGCTGCAGAAGCTGCCCAGGGCTCTGTGGCTAACTGCTTGGGTTTCCCCTCCTCAAGCTCTGCTTCCTCCCAGGCTAGGAGCTCAGCCCACTAGTGTTAACCTAGAGCTGGCCTCCTCCTCTCCCAGCCTGACCTACAGGCTGATGGGACTGGCTGGGTGGGGCAGGAATAACGCTGGGACCCATGGGGACCACAGTCAGGACTGGGGGCTCTCTTTTCACTAAAAAGCCACAGAAAGCATCAGCAAGTATGAACAACCATCCCAGGAGGCTGTGGGCTAACCCTGTGGGGTGTGTGTGGTGGGCATAGCATCTAGCGTGTGTGAGCTATGGGTAGGATGGCATGGGGCATCTGCAGACACAGAGAGTGTGGCTTGGGGACAAGTCATAACTCAGCATCACTGTCTGGCATATGAAGCAGGATCCCAATACCCACAAATGCCAGGGTTGCCAGCTACATTTCATCCTCAATCTCTCCCAAGGCCCAGTCCCAAGCCGAGCCTGGCTCCAGCATGACCCTGAACCTCTCAGGAACCCCTGCCTGCTAACCACTTTTTCCTCTGCCCGTAGGAACCCGGCTGCTGGCATGGGTACTGTGGCTGCAGGCCTGGCAGGTGGCAGCACCATGCCCAGGTGCCTGTGTGTGCTACAGTGAGCCCAAGGTGACCATGAGCTGCCCCCAGCAGGGCCTGCAGGCTGTGCCCACTGGCATCCCAGCTGCCAGCCAGCGCATCTTCCTGCACGGCAACCGCATTTCCCATATTCCGGCTGCTGGCTTCCATGCCTGCCGCAACCTCACCATCCTGTGGCTGCATTCCAATGCACTGGCCCACATTGACGCCACTGCCTTTGCTGGCCTGACCCTCCTGGAGCAGCTGGACCTCAGCGACAATGCTCAACTTCGTGCCGTGGATCCCACCACATTCCATGGCCTGAGCCGCCTGCACACACTGCATCTGGACCGCTGTGGCCTGCAGGAGCTGGGCCCCGGCCTGTTCCATGGCCTGGCCGCCCTGCAGTACCTCTACCTGCAAGACAATGGGCTACAAGCGCTGCCTGACGACGCCTTCCGTGACCTGGGCAACCTCACACACCTTTTTCTGCACGGCAACCACATCCCTAGCGTGCCTGAGCGCGCCTTCCGGGGCCTGCACAGCCTGGACCGGCTCCTCTTGCACCAGAATCGTGTGGCCCGCGTGCACCCGCATGCCTTCCATGACCTTGGTCGCCTCATGACGCTCTACCTGTTTGCCAACAACCTCTCCATGTTGCCCGCCGAGGCCCTGGCACCCCTGCGTGCCCTGCAGTACCTTCGGCTCAACGATAACCCCTGGGTGTGTGATTGCCGGGCACGCCCACTCTGGGCCTGGCTGCAGAAGTTCCGAGGTTCCTCCTCGGAGGTGCCATGCAGCTTTCCTGTGCTCCTGGCTGGCCGTGACCTTAAGCGACTAGCCTCCACTGACCTGGAGGGCTGTGCCCTGACCACTGGGCCCTTCCATCCCATCCGGACCAGTGGGGCCACCGATGAGGAGCTGCTGGTGCTGCCCAAGTGCTGCCAGCCTGATGCAGCAGACAAGGCCTCGGTGCTGGAGCCTGGGAGGCCAGCCTCAGCTGGCAATGCCCTCAAGGGGCGTGTGCCTCCTGGTGACAGCCCGCCAGGCAATGGCTCGGGCCCACGGCACATCAATGACTCTCCGTTTGGGACCCTGCCTAGCTCTGCAGAGCCTCCACTGACTGCACTGCGCCCTGAGGGTTCCCAGTCGCCAGGGCTCCCCACCACTGGCCCCCGCCGGCGGCCAGGCTGTTCCCGAAAGAACCGCACCCGCAGCCAGTGCCGCCTGGGCCAGGCGGGCAGTGGAGGCAGCGGGGCAGCTGATGCAGAGGCCTCGGGCACCCTGCCAGCCCTGGCCTGCAGCCTTGTGCCCCTGGGCCTTGCCCTGGTGCTATGGACAGTACTTGGGCCCTGCTGATCAGCCATCAGCCACCAGAGCCTCTCAGCAGCCAGGTGTGTGTACATATGGGGTCTCCCTCCATGCCGCCAGCCAGCGCCTGGGGATGGGCCCCATGGGGCAGGCCAGGCCCTCCCTGATGGACGCCTCCCCTCTAGCCCAACCCCATCTCCACCCCATCATGTTTACAGGGTCAGGGGCTGCGTTTGTTCCAGAACGCTGTCTCCCACCCGGATCGCGGTATATAGAGATATGCATTTTATTTTACTTGTGTAAAAATATTGGACGACGTGGAATAAAGAGCTTTTTTCTTAAGCTGTGGCCTCCCCAGCTGTGGTGCTGTGGGTGGTGAGAGGCAAGGGTGGGCCAGGGGTGGCATCTCTCCCAGCACTGGCACATGAAGCCACCGAGAAGGAACAGAGCTGTCTGGCCACTTGGATGCTACGCCCTGGGCTGACTGTGGGTGACTGGGACACCAGATGTGAAGTATCTGCACACCCCTCCAGTCATGCCAGCTCAGCTTGCCCACAGCTGAATCCCTGTCTGTGTCCAGCCAGCTTTCCCAAGAGATGGGCCGACAGTGTGCATGCCGGGCCCACGGGTCAGGACAAGGCTGCCTTTGTGGGGACATCTGCTCTGGTACCTTCCAGCCTAGGTGTGGGGTACCCCCTGGAAGCTGAGGGCAGGAGGTGACGACCATGCTCCCCCTGCTGGGGGATGGGCAGGAGGGGATGGCCTTAACACCACACACACAGCCCAGCAGCAGGCCCTCAAGGGTCTGCATGCGCCCCCCTCCCACCACGTGTATACATGAGACCCATACACATGCACTGCAGGAATCACACATGCATACACATGCGTGCTTGCATGTGCTGTAAAACAGTACACGTGACACAGACAAAAACATGCACACACATGCTTTTCCAAGGCCTGGGCCAGGGAGGCCTCCAAGGCCAAAGGGAAGGGACCAGTGGCCAGGAAACTGGGAGCTGGGGGCAGGGGCTGAAGGAGAGGGAGGAGAAAAACAAATTTGGAAGAGGGAGTGGGGGAGCATTGCTGGTGGAGCCAGATGGCCGTGGGGGTGGCTGGGGCTCTAGAAGCCCAGGGGAGAAGGAGAGGGAGGGGGATGCCTCGGCAACCAGAGCCCCTGGCACCCCCTTCCAGCTCCTCAGTGCTGCCGGCCAAAAGGGGTCCGAGGCCAGATTTGTGATGCTGGGGTCCTGCACGGCCCTCACTTTTCCTCAGCATGTGCCTTTCCACGGTGTACCCTCCCCACTGTGCTGTTTTCTCCTGGAAATCTGGTGCCTGTGCTGCTGGCACGGCCCACCTGAGCATGGTTCCCGTACCTCTGTCTTAATTTGCCCTTCTGCACAGTGGGTACTGGCACAACTGAGCTACAGTTTCCAGGGCTACGGCAGGGCAGTGGAGCAGGCCAGACAGGTCAAGGCTGGGCCCCAGCCCCTCTCTGGCCAAGAAGATTCCACTGCTCTCCCTCGGCAGCTGCAGCAGAAGTCGCTCTATGGGTGTCCTGATGTCAAGCAGTGTCTGCTGTATGCTTATCACCTCACCACCAGCCTGGCCCTCGAGAGGCCTGCCAGCCTGTACCTGGCATAGGCAGTGGTATCCTTATCCAAGTTTCTCCCAAGCATCCCCTGCCATGCCCAAGAAGACAAAGGCAAAACTGCTAGGTTTGGGATTGGGCTAGGGTCCTGAGTTGTGGCTGGGGCCTCCTCCCTGAGTCAGGACTTGCAAAGACCCACAGGGTCTACCTGAGCTAGCTACTTACAGCAAATGTTGACATGGAGAAGGACAGCAGGTTCCTCTTGGCTTGCAAGCCTCCCAAGATAAAGAGCTCACTGCCTATATTGGGCTCGTTCCTCACTGACAGGCCCCTCCCTGCCTGGCACTAACAGGCTCAGAGTCCACCCACAGTGGTGGATCAAGAGGCTAAGGGAGAAACGAGGAGCATGTCAGGGAACAGGGGCAATGCGCTGACCAGACCTGTAGGGGGAGGTGACACAGAAGCTGAGGCTGAACCACAGGAAAGGGTGCCCAGGGACCTAGGGCATGGGCTGGGAGTGGCTATACGAGTCTTGGGGACATTGTCCCAGCCAGCAGCAGGACAGGACCCAATTTCCTGGGAAGGTCACTCTAATGGTTGTGTGCATGGTGGGGGTCTGTGTGCTGGAAGGGACTGGGGAGTCGGCCATGGTCTGGCCAGGCCTGAGGAGAAAGTAGGAGGATCCACAAGACAGTGGATGTGTTTCAAGTTGGACTCAACAGAATGGGGTGGAGGCGGTGGGCAGGGCTCCCAGGCGTCTGCCCTAAGCAGCCGGCATGGGGCGCCTGTCCCCGAGGTGGGGGGGGTGCCAGGAGGAGCGGCCGCCTTGTCAAGGCCCAGGAGACATCTGGGCGGGGGCGTTGTGTGGGCTGTGCAGGCTGAGCTCAAGAGAGGGGCCCGGCTGGAGGACACATTTGGGAGTCGTGAGCGTTTGGGTGATATTTACAGCCCAGGAAGAGATGAGATCACCGGCCGGCAATGACAAGGGGCCGGGAGGGGGTGGGATGCTGGGCCAGAGTCCAGGGGCTCAGCTATCCACCCTCACCACCCCATTCCCACCTGCCCCAGCCCTGGTCCTGCTGGTTCTCTGAAGTCAGGTGCTGGGTGTCTAATGTCCAGCCTCAGCCTCCTAGACCCTGAAGCCCATGCAGAAAGCTGACAAAAGCCGTCTGAAGCATGGTTGAGCATGTAGGCCTCCCCCTGGGTACAGCAGCTGGCTTCCCATAAACATGCTGGCCACCACCCAAGGACGCCAGGCCAGCCTCAGGGCTCTCTGTGGACAGAAGACTTTGCAGGTCACAGGCTCATCCTGGTATCCCAGGCCCTTCAGAGCCATGCTACCAAGCACAATCAGTGGAGACTGACATCTGGACCCAGGCTGACAGTGGTGTAACCCATCCTGGGTCAATGAGTCGGGGGTGAGCAGTCCTTGGGTACTGGGCCCAGGCTGGGCTCTCCTGGTGATCACTCTCAGGTGGCCGTGACCCCAACCCTGGGCACTGGGAGGACAGTGAGACACACTGCAGGCTCTCTGGGGCTGAGGTGCCCCTGCAGCTGTCTAGGGGGTTGCCCAAGTAGCCTCAGTCGGGAGCACTTGCCCCATTTATCTGGTTGCTCAGGGCTTCACACTGTAATTTGCAGAATTATTTTTTAATCATTAAATTAGTTCTGAAATAACATAAGCAGCCAAGTGTTCACCAGCTGATGGTCAACTAATGTCTGGTGTTACCAATACCATGGCAGAAACATGTTTGGAGGGAAGTGAGAATTTGTTGGATGAGCTGGGCCCCAGAGGCTGGCCCCAACAGCAGCAGAGAGGCCCTTCTCACAGTGGAGGACACACGCCTCCATCACAGGCCCCAGCCTGTGCTCTTGGCCTGCCTGGCATAGGGCAGACACCTCACACTCCAGGCCTCACAGGAACACTCTTCAGATGTCCTTAGTGTGCAGACAAGGAAACTGAGGCTCAGAGGTGCAAAGTGAAATGTCCAGGGAGGACTGGACCTGTAGCCACACTCACTGAGATCTTCAGCTAGGAGCCACGGCTCTGCCTCAGAGCGCTTCATGACTTCTTCATCCCAGTGCCCAGCGATGTCACAGCAGTCTGGGTGTCCACAGGAGTCTTGCCGACTGTGCCAATTGGCTTGGGGATGTTACTTGAGTGAGGAGATGTACTCTAGGCTGTGGTGAACACACAGCCACAGCAATTCTGTGTCTGGTCAGGTGGCTCCTGGGCCAAGCCTTCAACCTGACTTCTCTGTGGTGCCCCTGCCCCTCTGGTATCCAGCTTTGTGTCCTAGTTCCTTGCTGGTGGCCTTGCCTTGGTCCTGCTGGCCTTCTTTCCTCTATGGGCATTTTCCTTGTCCCTAGTTTGCTTATTCCCACCCTATACCAGCCTGAGGCTGCCCTGGGCTCCTGAAGCCCTGCAGGACAGACCCAGCTGCCGTGCATGTCACAGCATGGGGCTTTGATGGGGCTCCCACACAAGGCCTCAGTGGCCCAAGAAGACAGAATGGTGAGTACGCTTGTCTCCCTTGGAGACGTATGCTCCAAGACCATGGGGAGAGGATGTGATAGGAGCCATGATGGCCACTGGAGCCGTTCCCATTGGAAAGGTGCATACAGTGATATATGGCACTCCCAAGACTTCCCAGGGGCCTGGCCTGCTCTCAAAACAACTGCTCTGGGTCTGGAGGATGAACCTGCCTCTGGGTGCTCAGGCCTGTCCAGGGCTGGGGCCTGTGGCTGGGGGAATACCGGAGCCCCTCATAGGTAAGGAGACCCCACTCATCTCTGTGCTGTTTTCCTGCCTATTGTAAGGAATGAGCAAACACTCATGGAAGCTGTCCCTCCCCAAAGGTGACACTGGGTGTGTGGGAGGGTGGCTATCAGGCTGCTGTGATGGCCAAGATCCCCAGTAGGGTTCAGACAGGGCTGTTCTCCAGCCATCCTCCCAATCAACAATTTGTCTTCTAAGCCCTCCAACAGGTTAGTAAAGGGACTCCCTCAAGACCACAATAGCCAGTGGAGCTGGCCTGGGGTGGACTTGGCCACTGGGTCACACCTCACCCTCACAGGGCCACCTGGAGCTGGCTACGGTGAAGTGTGTCACAGAATCCCAAGGCAGGATTCACACCAGCTGCCATGGTGTCAGTGGACACCAGTTCCGTGAAGGTCTTACCCTCTCGGCCAGTACCATGGCTAGGCTCAGTGGAGGGTCCTTTATGTTCCAGCCCAGGGCATCCAAACAGCTCACCATGCATTTATCAGGTACCTACTATATGTCAGGTGGAACCCATAGACCTCTTTCCCGGGGATGAGCAGGGGCACTGCTGGGGCTGTCATCATCACCCCAGGCCATCTATGCAAGCACGAGCCTGGGCCACTGTCAGACCATGCAGGTGCAGGGAGGCCAAGGCCACATGATTGGTCTGACAGGTGGAGTCCTCACAGATGGATGCGTGAGGGAGGAGCAGCACATTGTCTCCTCACATGACCCAGCCTCACTCGGATAGACAAAGCGAGAGGGCAAGGGGCGGCCCCTTCCGCAGACACAGCACGGCGCTGGCCAGCACCTAGCCTCTCCTGAGTCGCTTCTGCCGCTGCCGAAGGCTAATTAAACCCACCGCCTACTGGCCTGAGAAGCACCGGGGAACCGGAGGGCTCCGATTTGTCTTCACAAAGGGCTGTGCGGAGATTTATGGGCAATAAAGGAGCATCCATCTCAGGGCAGGCAGAGAAGCGGCAGCCATCC